AATTCAATATGGTCAAAGAAATTCCATATGGTTAAAATGCAGTTATTGTTGTTGTTACAGCTTACAAGGATCTATAAACCAGATAATTTGAAAGGCATAACAAGACGAATACATGGGTTGGAATGTGGATAGGTATTGGTAGTGTGAAAGAGGAGGAATGGATGTTATTTAAATGGAAGTCAATCAGAATCAAGGCGGAGAAACTCAGCTACTTCTATATAGCGGGTCCAAAGATCGATTGGACTCAAGTTTGTGTTTGCATTGAGACAGAGAAACAGGAAGGCTACATAAAGGACGGTAGAGCTGCATTTGTGGCATACATTGGGAATAGACGCATTTATACGAGACAAATAACTATTTTGCACATGGCTATAACTCCTGTAGATCGTGCAGCTGGTGTTTCCTTCTTGGACACCACTTCATAAAAGTCTATAAAGAATCAGATTCTTAAACTCACTTCATAGCATCTTCAATTCAGAAATCAGCTAAAAACACGAGTTCATATATGTGTCGAACTAGTTACAAAGCACCTAGACCTCTACATAAAATTACAATGGAATCAAAAATACTTTTTAACCAGTGTCTTTTCACTCCATCTATTTCCCTTTAGGTCATATTAACTGTGAAATGATTTTACTTTTATTAATCACTGATATTTAAAAACGAAATACTATTATATACCATTTACAAATCAGAACTATGCAACTTTTACTGCTGATTAAAGTTCTCATTAAAGATTGTACGAGTATTTCACAATTTATTATTTTGAGATATAAATTTTTATAAAATATTGAGCTGCTCAGGGGATCGCATGTTGATGCGATTTCTGGTTCAAATATATATCAAAGCAAATCTTTAAAAAGTTCTGATTGATTAGATTAACATATTCTAGTGTTTAAGAAAGTTAAAAATTAATGATCAAAGTACATATTTAACATCGATTTTTAAAAAGACGACAATATTTTTATTACTCATATTTATTAGCTTTTATTGAAATATATTAATTTGTTTTTATTTTTTCAATTTTTTTTCAATTTTGCAGTGTAAATTTAGAATATTGGCGAAAAACTGATACCACCGTTTGATATTTGCAACAATTTTTTAAAAATCATTACAAGTACATATAGACTTTCTACATTCCTTATATGACATCCATTACGTATGCTCGAATTTAATAATTAGAGTACAAATTATTTCAATATATAAATAATCCTGTAAAATGTCTGAAGATAAAAAAGTTCTTAAGAAAACGCCTAAGCCCCAATCCAAGGGTGTGCTTATTGGCAACATTATTTTTGGTTTATTCACAAAACTCATAAGATTAGTGTTTCAATTAATTTATGGAGTAAAAGGTGAAGTAATGCCTCCTATAAGAGATCCCATACTATTAGAATCCGCAACATCACTTGCCAGAAAGATACGCAAGCAGAAGGTGAGTATTTGAAAACATAACAATTAACGAAAATTAAAGTTTATTTTGTTTCCAGTTAACAAGTGTGCAAGTTTTGGACGCATTTATTGCACGAATTAATGAAGTCAATCCATTGTTAAACTGTTGTGTCGATAATAGATTTACGGAAGCGCATGCTGAAGCTGAAGAAGCTGATAAGTTAATAAAATCCAAGCAATATACAATAGAAGAATTGGAGAAAATTAAACCATTCTTAGGTGTGCCAATATCCACTAAGGATTGTATTGCTGTTAAAGGTGAGTTTTTCTACTTTGGTATTACTTAGGTTTGGTTGCGGTATTATGATGATGCTGGGGATCTAGTAATTTCTGTTAGTACGCTGTAGCGAGGGCTAGAAACTCTAAACAGAATGGCTTAAAATTGGTTAAGATTCTGTCAAAATTAAATCCTTAGTAAATTTACTATCATTAGGCATGCGGGGGAAAACGACAAAGCTGATATCGTCTGCCACACCGGCAGTGACTCGATAACAAAAAAATCTCGAGACAGATAGTTTTTCATATTTCAGAGAGCCCATCGTTTTTTTATTATTTTCTATACACCAAGATTATAATCTATGTGCTAACCCTTTACATTCTTATAAATCGTAATACATTCTTCTTGCAATTGTTTTTTATATCTATTGATTTAAGTTTTAATTCGACAGACATTTTAATTTATAGTCTTATATGTCTTAAGTATCTTTGCTTAATCTTTTCAGGTCTGCTACATACATCTGGCTTGTACTGCCGTAAAGATGTTCGTGCCTCTGAAGACTCTGATGCAATGGCTTTGATGCGTAAAGCTGGGGCCATTCCTTTTGCACTCACAAACGTTTCAGAAGTATGCATGTGGTGGGAGAGTAACAATTCTGTACATGGACGTAGTCGCAATCCCTACGACACCAATCGTATTGTTGGAGGTTCGAGTGGTGGTGAAGGTTGTATACAAGCAGCAGCTGCATCGCCATTTGGTTTGGGTTCTGATATTGGCGGTTCTATACGTATGCCGGCATTTTTCAATGGTATATTTGGACATAAGCCAAGCAAATTTATTGTGTCGAATAAGGGACAGTTTCCCATACCATTTAGTGAGGAACAAAATTCATTTTTGGGTATTGGACCAATGACACGTCACGCAGAAGACTTAAAACCTATGCTAAAGATTATAGCTGGCGAAAAAGCTGCACAATTAAATTTAGATGAATCGGTAGACCTAAGCAAAGTACGTTATTTCTTCCAGGAAAATGATGGCGGTGGTCGTTTAGTATCTGCAGTTGATGATGATTTAATAAATGGAGTACGACAAGTTGTGCAACATTTGAAAAACAAACTTAATGTGCCAGTAGATCGTGTACAATTTGAACAATTCCGTCAGTCGGCTGCTATATGGTTTGCTAATATGAAAGATGATTCTGGTTATGGTTTTGAACATCAACTAGGAAATATGAAAACAGCAATTAACCCATATAGTGAATTGTTTATGTGGCTGTTGCGCTTATCCAAGCATACCTTTATCGGTATTATAACTGCAATAATGGACAAATTGCAGTGCAGACATGGCTCGAGTAAATATCATCACTTAGTTAAAAAACGCAATGAACTGCGAGCGGAACTACAAGAACTACTGGGAAATGATGGTGTGCTTATATATCCAACACATCCAACTGTAGCGCCATATCACAATGAACCCATTTTACGACCCATTAACTTCTCATACACTGGCATAGTAAACGTACTAGGTTTTCCAGCTACAGCAGTGCCTTTAGGCAAGATAGGTAGCGAAGGTTTACCTCTTGGTGTGCAAGTAATTGCCAATTTTAATCAAGACCGTTTATGTTTAGCAGTGGCAGAGGAACTGGAACGTGCTTTTGGTGGTTGGGCAAAACCAGAAATACAAATTAATTAATCAATACCAGCAAAACTAAAATAAGAAACTTTAATTTCGTAACAGAACTAAAATTTATGTGTTTAAAAGACACACATTATTTGTGATTTGTAAATTCAATTTATGTATTTAATACAATTGCATTTTGTCGCAATTTAATTTATTTTTGTATGAAAATTAGAATTAATTTTATTGTAAAATATTTTTTTAAATTTTAAACTTATAACATATACTTTATATCAAATTTAAAATTCAAGTCGTACAGATAAATTATGTAATTACTTACATTGATTAATGTTTATATATGTAATATAGTTTTTTTTCGATTTTATTATACCATCTATTATACACAGAACTCATTTTTGTTCCTGTAAATAAAATATATCCATATCAACTTAATTATTTAAAAATTCCAAAAAAAATTACTATTTAGAATTTTTAGGCGCATAACGTCATATATTTATTTAATTCGTTTTTCAACAATAACTAAACAAATTTTAGACTTGTCATGTTGGTAACGTGAAAATATTTATATAAATATATACACCGATTTATATATTCCTATAGAGAAATGTAACATTCAAACAATATATTTTGTGCCTAAAAGCCAATAACCAATTTATAAGATTTTTTATTAAATATAAATGTAAGTTTATACAGGTTTAATAGTTGTTTTTATGAAATTTTTAAAAATATGTAAGATATATTATTTATAAAATAAATTTGTGTAATGCTTTATAAAACTGAATAATTTTATTTTATTTTCTGCTAGTTTCCCTAATATTAATCAACTTATGAGAGTGGTTCTATACACTTAACTAGTTTATACTTACGGAAATATGTATACAAAACAATTCAAAGTGATGGTCCTTGTTGAGCTTTGTTTGCTATTGGTTAAATCTAGGTTAGTGTCAAGTAGCAACTACATACACTTTTTGATAACTGTTAACAGCAATATATTTTTGTTGTCCAAGCAACTTGCAACTTGTTGTTTTGTAATTCTGAAGCAACTTGTTTATTAGACTAAAAATCCTGATGACGATTACACTACGCATATTAAATTTGGACTGGCAAATATGGCTGTTTGTGCACAATAAATAATTGCCAACATATTATTATATTAACCGTGGCTCAGCACGTTCAAAGAGTACATTAAACAAGCTACATAAGAACTAGTGTAAGCTTAAATATTCGTTCCGTACTACTAATACCGTGTCAAAAATCTGTTTATATCAACATATGAACTTTAACGTCAAATTTTTGTATTAATACTAATTTCTTATTTATTTGTGTTTCTTTATGTATTATAAACTTAGTAACAAATTGTTTCTCTAAACTACATGATTTCTTTGTTTTTTAACAAATATATGTTTAATTATTTTTAACCCAATTTCCCACCTAAAGTGTGTATTAATTTTAATAATTCAGAACGTTTGCCTTTAACTGCATCCTGATGCAACAAAGCGACATCTTCTATACACTCGAATCTGTTAACATGATCAGCAATGTTATCAGCCATACATAGTACATGAATACCGCAGTCATAACTGTTTGCCTACGATTATAAAAACAATATCAAATAAAATGACAACAAATAAAAAACTGTTTCTTACTTGTTGCAAACATTTCACTGATTTCAAATTAAACTTCTTACAATGTAGCGCATCTTTAACTTGTTGCATAAATTGGTGTGCCGCTTCAGAGTTTTGATTGCTATGCGAATCAAAATGAAAGAATGTTTTCTCTGGTCTTGAAAGAGCAAATAATGACCAATGCGTACCACCTGCTAGTGTCGTGGTATTGTCATTTAATGCAAACAATATAAACATTTTAGATGCAGCATCCAATTGATTTAATAACGTTGTTAATTCATCTTCACTCACGAGCTTCATACATTGAGTTACTTCAGGTGAGACAAATAACATTTCTGAATTATTTTTGTACTTAACTCTTTCTAGGTATTCGAAATAGAATGAGATGATCTGATCATTAAGCCAGTGTGGTCCTTGCAACAACTGTACATCGGACATACGCAAGCAACTCTCATGAAAATTCAAGCAAACGGGATCTGACTGCTTTGTTCGCCGCGGCAAAGACATCTCGTCGAATATTAGTTGACTAATTTAAAATAAGAAGTTTTATCAAAAATTGTTATAATAATCAAAAATGTAGATTCCAAACAAATTTTAAAACTACATGCACTTGTTTCTTTTGCCGGCTGTGCTAATTTTCATTTATTTGCTACTCCCTTTCGTAAATTACTTGACTTTGTACTGTACATTTCAGACAATGTCAACTGGGGTATTACCAACAAAAAATTTTCAATTCTTTTAAAAATACAAAAGCCTTACAATATTTAAAATATTTTTATTTAACTAATTTCGCATTATTCGCAATGAAAATAAAAATTATATTTAATGGAAAAACAGTAGTTATTTAAAATATCTTAATACATTGAATACATTTTAATAGCATTTGCAAAATCATTTATCTTCGCAATTCGCAATTTCTCTAAAAAAGTGTTTAGACTTAAATTATTATAGTTAAACTAACAGTCAAAAAAAAAAAATAAATTTGTTTTGCTTTTCCTGCCACAAGTCAGCATTTGTTTAATCAACAATATTAAAATAAATGTACCTGTTTATCGCGCACGTCTTTGCATAGACTTTGTATGGATTTTGTATGGCAAATTGACTAAACCATACACGCTATCAGATACATAAATGAGTTAAGAACGAATAAGTCTAATCGTAGAATTATACAATTCTATTCAATAGAAAAAGATAAAAATACTGAAATGTCATTACATTTCATAAAGGAATTTATTGACATATCCCACCTACAATCAGATATAACAAAGAAACTTACTGTCCAAGTGAATTATTATACTTGTAGGTAGACTATCTAATTACTCCATTAGTAAAAAATACGGCATTGAAGATAATCAGTACACATTTTCTGTGTCACTTCCCGGCTGTCATCTACTACGAGGTTTCGCTTCTACATGCCTATTCGAGATCTCGAATTAAAGACTGATTTCTTCTGCAATCCTATGAGAATACTTTTTATTTGAAACTTGTCGTAGATAAATACCACTGTTTAACAATAATATTTTTAATTACAGAATCATAGAATATATATTTATTATGATATATTATATATAGCACTGAATTTTAAAAAACTTATTTATTTATGTATTTCCAAAACCCTCATGTTCCTGAAAAAAATAATAAATATTATTAAATTTTAACGTAAACAAATGAAGCTCTATGTGTGTACGTGACCAAAAGCATCATAAAATCTCTTGAGGTCTGAATGAAATGTGTGTACAAATTAGAGATAATTAAAATATAAAATTTATAAATAATTTTAAATTGCACTTTTGGGTTAAGAATCAGTAAATAAAAATATTTGTTTTTTCAAAATAAATTATGTGAAATTTTGAAAATTGACACGTTTTTTTATGTTTTTACTTAATGATAAGAGCGGTTAAGCTATTTAGTATATATACGTACATATATATATATTTATGGGTATGGCATGGGTATTCAACTAATAATTTGTTTTTTATCTATATATATTGATAAAACTAGTGTTTTTCGCTTTAAACAAAGGAAAAACTTCTTTCTCTTGCATTAGTGGTTTTCGGTCTCTTCGTGTCTTTGTATTAACACGATCTCATGCCATACTTTTACAATTCACCTTCTAAATTGCACTTCGGGGGCTTTTTATGGCACATTCTATATTTTATTTCTTGACCAAACTATTGTAGTTTGTGACAAAAGGTAAATGTTGACATGGGTGAAAGTGGACATTCTTGACTCTTAACTCCAGTATGTGTTATTATAAACGTATTTTAACAAGGATCTGACTAAATTTAACTTAATTGCCGTAGTGGAATCAAATGGTATGGCCGATATCACAGACGTCGTATTATCTCCGCTATCAGCAAACAGATATAAAAACTTAAAAAGACAGACCATTGAGATGAATTGTTATCTGTTATTTGAAGTAGAGATTAGTAGCAGGCGTCCACACGCCTATTGAGTAAGTTGATACATTTATAAAAGAATCGCCTAAATATCGAATTTCTGAATTCACTACGGCTCCAACCTTTGCCGCCCTAGATCCGTGCTATATTAAAGGCAACTAACATAGATCTGGCTGAGTTGCCATAGGTAGTAGTCAGAATCTGGGAGACCGGCAAGTACCAGTAACTAGACGCAATCTTCACCCCTATAAGCAGCAATTGTGCCTGAAAGCTATAATAATAAGAAAACTAATAATAAGAAGAAAATCATTTGGTCGCCTTCCCCAACTGCATGGCATCAGATGCGAAGTTAACTTTCACAACAGATGCCTCCGTCGATGCAATGGGTATTATACTCCAGCTAATAGTTGATGGAGAGTACCAGCCATTACCGTTCTACCCAAAAAAGTTAAAATCGCAACCAGTCGTAGATGTATTCCAGTAAACCAGCAAGATTCAATACTTCAGATATCCATTAAAGAGTTGCATGTTTATCATATTTACCGACCATAAACCACTCGTATATGCGTTCCAGTAAACCAGCAAGACGGCTTCTCCTTCTTGCGCCTCTTGGGCACTTGACATGAATGACAAAAGCAAGAACTCAAGAATCTAAAAAGCAATTCGCGGTCGAAACAAAGGAAGTCAACTCCTCACCCGTGGTTAGCGAATAATCAACTAAGCGACAGCGATATAGACAGCGCTTTGTCACGTACGCTTCTCGGTGCAGTGACGTTCACTTACATTTAACATTCCAAACTGGCAGCACAGAACACAGCTTTAGGCATTTCTTCAGATAATTAATATAAATGTTCAAAACTTTTGTAGACTGTTAATCACCGTGTAAATGTGTGATTTTTGAAAATCATAAGTTAAAAATCGTAGTTATCTCTTCCGAATAAACATAGAAACAATTATATATTATTAAACGTAGTCTAAATCTATAAAAAGAAACAGGAGTGGTGACTGGTGGTCTGTACATGCAAACAAAACGAACGGCTTCTAAAACGAAAGTTGTTGGTATATAGAACTAAATTCAAGGTACGACATATATTATGCCATAGATCACAATAATTTTCAATTGAAACAAGATTTTTTTGTGTGTAGTAATTTTTGACCATGAT